GGGTTTGCCAAAAAGCATAGAGATAACCGAAAACCAATATGGCAGCAATATATTAACATGAGCTTAAAATTTCTTTATGTTCATGATATGCCTTAATAAATGCGGGTACTTCAGTAAAAAAAATTATACAAATTTTTTTTTATATTACAGTTATTTAGAGCAAATTTCAAATTTTAAAAAATGAAACCAGAATCAAATTAACTTAAATACTTTTTGAGCTACGAATTTTTAAAGTGCGAGTTTGTTTGGTATTTTCTACTATGGACGAAGCCTCCACATTTTGTGACCTCATTCTGCTGATCCTGTCTTGCGCAATGACTATATAGTATATAAAAGGCAACGCATCCCCTTATTAGTAAAATACTATTTAGGGACTACTTGTTTTGAACTTTCAACTTTGACACATACTATTTAATTAAAGCTTTCCCAGACTAATGGTTTAATAGCTTTTGCACACGGCAAACTCCTATGAATGAAACTCTGACGTAGTACCTCGGCATAGCCATTATGCAAGTGGCCGCGACTAGCAGCACATGACCATGTTTTGCACACAGCAAATTATGATTATTTATAATATGGACTCTACTGGGTTTTTAAACCTTGAATTAAAACATATTATTTAAATTACTTCTAGATTCATTCTAAAACACAAGTCCTGTATTTTGGGAAATAAATAATTATTTTTAATTATGAAAAAAATTTTTGTTTGCTATTTCTTCTTGCGGAGTTCAAAAGCCGGCGATTGGTCATGGCATGGGTTAGAGATAACCGATGCTAAGTGGCAAATTTGGCCGCCTTTTGTGCTCAAGATATCAGGGCTCAGTGACATAAAAGAATCGAGGAGAAAATGCTAAGACAAAGAGAGAAATTGGCGGTTCCACTTCAAAAACGTTAACATAACAGGGTTGGCAAGTTAACCGAGGTCGAGATAAGCAGGACGACTGTAATGCATTTAATTAATTTAAAACTGCACTCAGAAATGGTGATCTCGCACATGTTACAAGAGCTATGTTTCATGTTAGGAAATAAGAAACACTGTGAATGGTAAACCTGAAAGGAAACAGACAAAAATGTTTCAAAGTCATCTTCAGTGACCAGAAACAAGGGGAAGATAAAGAAATAATGTCATGTTGTTTGGAGTTTGAAGGAAGAGTGTGTAAGGAAATAAAAATGGAGAAAAAAAGAAGACAGAAAAGGAAGTGCATGACGATTGGATTTATTCAAGAAAGGAGGCAGAGAAAGAGTTAACATGCTAAAGAGAACATGTATGACACCACATGGAATGAACATGATTTTTTAAAAAAAAAAATTAATTTGATATTGTGAAGAATACTAAGGCACATGTTCATTGCTTCATGTTGTCTTTTTCAGATTTTCCCCTACCTTGTTTTTATTTCCAGTTGCTAAACCTAATAGCAGTCTCCCCCCTTTATTATTCTTTATCTTAGGTGGTTCCTAATTCTACCCCATTACTCCCAAATCCGGCTGATACTGATTATGGTTTCTCATTTCCTGGGGTTTTGCTTGTCCCTGGAATCCCAGGATAAAATCAATTTAATACTATAATATTATAAATGAATTAAACTATACACTTGTAGAAAAACAAAGTTAGTTAAGGTTACTAGAGAGGTTGGTCACTTCTTACTAGTTACTAGTTACTTCATTTTCCCCTACTTAGCCCTAGTTATAAATAATTAATAATTTGCTTGTTAAGCAAAAGTCAGATATAACCGCCTATAGAAAAAAAGCTTAACACTTCATAGAGTTTTGCATTATTTACAGGTCACAAACTCTAGTTTAAAATTAGAACTAGATTTTACAGGTCGTGGTTTATACAGACAATTTGTGACATCCTGAAAGTGTAAAAAAAACTAGAAAATTATACCGGTATTCTAAAAGTTTGTACCCTGGATTTCCCAGGAAGTCTTTTGTTTACCGGTACTAAAATTTGCTGTATAGAAATTGGAAATCTCTCTATTAAAGGAAAGTCTCGCAAGTTATGAGACTTCTTCCAAATATTATATTTTGGTGTATAAATTCTTAACATTACTCTTTAATATTCAGATAAGGCAGATACAACTATTGTCATGTCAGATCAAGATTTGTGTGACTTAATGATGGGCAAACTCAACCCTCAAACTGTGAGTATTTTAGTTTAAATAAGCATGGCTATAATCAGAAAGAAACTGCTAGCAATATCATGTATAATTCCTTTTTTATAAAATAAAAAAAAATTAATCAAGAAATGAAAGTTTTGAGGGGATGAAAATTAGTATGGGGGAATTAATATAAATGCATAATCTTATGCACTGAGGGGAATGGGCGGGAGATTTTGCATCCTAGTGTTTATGACTAGTGTCTCTGCAGAATTTGCACCCACATTTATGCACAAAGTCTGCAATAATTATCCTGAGGAAATTTTCACAGTAATAAATAGCATAGTGACATCTTTAGTCCAATCTTATGCCATATAATGTGTAACATTGTAAGTTTTCTTGGGTGAGGTGTAAATTGTAATGCAATTATTTTGTTGGTCAGAATAATAGATTGTATTTGCTACACTAAACAACAATGAAAACCAGTGACAAAATCACTGTTTACTCTTACGATTTTGGCGTACAATGTAGGATTTTGAGGTGTATTCATGATATACACAGTATGTTTATTTTTTTACTATTAAGATAATGTATTAAACGATTTCCTGATGATATTGTACGATTTTAAGAATTTGAAGGTGAACTGGTCTGCATAATTTTTAACACAGTTAGGGTGTTTTCGTTGAACTGACCTGTTTGGCATAATTGTCTATAAATAAACTGAAACAGGTGCTGGGGGGTGAACATTTTATCCAAAATTGTACAGGTGCAATAGGGAGGAAGGGGCTGTGAAAATATGCCTTTTTTACATACATAAAGATTGTTGATAGTCTTTATTTGAAGGCTATACTGCTGGGAGAAGGAGACAATAACATTATATATCTGATACTTTGAATGAAAAAATAGCTTTTCCTTATTAAATATTTTTGCTCTCCAGGCATTTTTTCAAGGCAAGCTCAAGATAACTGGCAACATGGGGTTAGCAATGAAATTGAAAGAATTGCAACCCAAATCTGATGCAAAGCTCTAAAGAACCTATTTATGAAGGGGAAAAAAAGAATTAAAACTGAAAATTGTACATCCCAGTGCCTCTCTCTTGTCTAATTAAAAAATTTACTAAACTTGATTATTTTACCACCTCACTCCTTAATTTTCTACTATAGATTTCATTAATATCATTATAAAAAGCTGCAGTAAGGCTACTATAAAGTTGTATGTAATTTGTTAAATAGCCATTATTATATTTCTTTTACTGGCATAATAAAGTTATTATTTTTATTTAATGCAGCTGCATTTTAATTTATTGGGTTTGTATTTTTAAAAATACTTTTGAGATGTTTTGTGTTTTCGCTACAAAAAGTTAGGTCAGATACTTAATTTTGAAATAAATTGCTTTTGTGTAATTATTATAAGATTTAAAGATGTTAAACACCTTCGTCAAACTTGTATGTTATTTGGATGTTTACACAATTTTATTTATAATTTTTTATACAGTTGTTGAATTTTTTGAGGATTTTAATGTGATAATAAAGTGACAGTAGGTATATATGAACTATAAATAAAAAGTATTCACTTCAAAATCTCCATCTCTTTGTTCCAATAAATTTTAATATTTTTTAAAAGAATATTTATTAAATTAGAAATATTTTGTAACACAGTTAATATTTTTAATAGGATTAAATTATGATTTTAGATCCTTTGTTAAGCTTCAAAAACACAAGTGCACAGTGATACAGAATACTTGCTGAGCTCTACTTACTTTTTATTTTTAACAAATAATTTATTTTATTATGGTACTGGTACTCTTAATTGTATTTAATTGCTATAACTTAACAGATACATGAGACTATTGTTGTTTTTGATTGTTAAACAGTAAATAAAAAGTGAAGAGATGGACAAGAGTTTCTTAAATTTTTTCTCATTTCTCATAATGTACATAAATACATAATTACCTGGAAATTCCATAGGGATCTTTATTCCTTATTTTGAATATTATTTTATATTGATTTTCAATTATTTATTATTAAGTGGATATCACAGGATGTGCATTGACCTAGATCAATGCTTTCCAAATTGTGTGTCACAACACAGTAGTGTCGCCTAATGGGTGTAGGTGTGTCACCGTGAAAATAAACAATACCTACATTCACACATTTTTTAAGACAACTTAAAAACAGCTAGAAATGAATTAAGATAAGTTATGGTCAAAGTGTTGCAAGTGGTAAATTATATTAGGATCTCTTCAATCAAGATTATTTAACAACTATCTACAGGAGGGAAATGATGTTTTCAGTAATTTAGGAAAGTAACCAAAATTTGCATATCTGGTTCTTACTGACATATTTGAATATTCAAATAAAATAAACACCAGCATTCCAAGAAAATAACTGCAGCATATTAACCATTTGTGCTATGGCAAACAGGATAATGATTAGGAAAAATAGCTGAGTGCAAGCTAAAATGGCTTGCTAATTGTCAATCATTTGATGTTGCTTTTACTAATACACTTAATTTAAAGAAGAATACCCGGTATACAAAGTCTTATTATAGCTTAGTTTTATTATAGCAAAGTCTTATTATAGCATAGTCTTACTATATTAAGTTGATATCTATTATTAATGGACCACACATTTTAGGGGCCAAAAGTGTATAATGTAATAATGCACTAGCTTTTGCATCTACATGTAGTGCACCTAACCATAATCTCCATTACTAGTTAAACTGAAAATTAGCCCCAAGCTTTTTTTTGGTGGTGGGGATGAACAGAGGGCTAAAATGTTATTAACATAAACTTAGCGGATGAAAAGGCAGAAGTACCTGGTCATTTTAAAGTTAAGAAGTTAAAGGTATAATTACTCTTGCAAAGAGACGTATATTTGTATTATAAATAGCTTACGATTGATTATTAAAATTCTCACAATTTCTAAATTCAACAAATTCTAAATAAAAGAAAACAATTTAAGAAAAACAAGTCATTTATTTACATTCTTCATTTACAATTTTTCAACCGAGTACATTGAAAGATTAATTTATGTTTGAAAAAGTTCATTATAAGCCGAGTGAACCGAGTACAATGGAATGTATCAATAAGAATGAGCATAGATCAAAATTATAAGAATATTTTGACAGGAATTCATTAAAAAACACAACCACAATCTCATGAAAATGAGTATTCCCATTTTATATATATTATTGTTCCCTTCTATTTTCAAGAAGAATATGCAAAGTCTTATAGATGTTTGCATAATAAGACTATGGTCTTATTATATCATAAAATATATGTATACTGGCATCCGTCCGACTGAGTGGTCGAGTGGTGTAAACTGAGTCAATCCCCACCAAAGACCAAGTCAAACATAAAAACACCAGCACCCGGGTGGATGGGACCTCCCGTTAACTTTGGATGGCAACTCATCTAATAGAAGGAAACTCTGAATCAAAACCCGGAGAGGGAGTCACGTAGGATAACATTAACACAATGAAAAATTGGTGCAAAGAAAGAGGCTATTTGCTGTCTAGGGAACCAGCTTACAGTCCTAAAGAAAAAATCCCAGGCCTTGTGATTCTGTCCTGCAAAGTCTACACCATCAACACATAGTGACGGACTGATGCCAATATATATATTGTATTATATGTGAATTATGCTTCCTAAGTTCATCAAGCCATTGATTTTATACAAACAATGTCTAAATTTAAAAAAACACATACACAGATCAGATCTATGATATGAATATAACTTTTCTTTCCTTTATATTTTTGTGAATCATCATAGGCAGCTGCAGAGACAAAAGCAGCAATATAAAACACTTGATATTCTTCTCTTAACCACACGAAATCTAAATCAGAGCAAATAAAATATTTTATAATGTGTATTGATTAATTACATGGTCATTGTTAATAACAAGGCCCCTTTGTTTGGGCTTTGTCTTTGTTAAATCATATTTAAAGGGATTTGTGTGTACCCCAGCTGGCTGTTGTCATTGAAACACAATACGTGGATCCTGATGTGTCCCGAATACGAGGATCCAATATATTTATTAATGTATTTATACATACATATATTTGTGTCTCGGCGCAACAAAAAGAATCTAAGTTTGCAATTAATTTGCAAAAAGATATTCATAACAAATAAATAAAAATAGACCAAAATTCATTTGTAAAGTTGATCCAAAACTAAATTTTTCATAATGTGAGATTTATGTTTCAATTAACCAATATATAAGTTATATAGTTTGAAAAAAGGTAAGAAGCTTCACTCAAGCACCACCTATTATCGTCATCAAGTATAACATTATTATGGAAGAACAAATCACTTATTTCAAATTGTGTAAAAAAAAAAAAATACATTGCATATAAAGTTATGTAAAAAACATGAAGATTCCTCACACATATTATTTAGGAATGAAAAAATATGTTGATATGTAAAAATAAAATGCTTATTTTAAACAAGGAACTTTCACTGCTCAGCTAAAACATTTTTAAGGTTTAGATGAAATTCTATATTTATTTATTTCTATAGATAGTAAAATTCTTAAAAATAGATTCATTACCTATTTAAGTCTTTATTTGTGTTTGATGCTCAGCTCATCAATCAAGACTTGCCTTTTGGAATCCTCCAATTTAAGAACAAATGGACGCTGCTCTCTGGTATCCAATTTCACTGGCACTGGGACAGTTAGAAGGGCAACTAAAGGCTCTGTTTCTGCAACACTTGCCAAGGTTGTACAGTCATGCAGTGATGTCACCGCAAATGTGATGTGTGATCTCTCATCAATTATTTTGAAACGAAAGCAATTGGCATGTGTTGGAGTGACACGGGCAGCTTTTCTGAATTTTTCAACATTATCTGGTAAATTGCTGCCAGTGACTTCTATCTCTCCACCAACACCAATGAAGCATCTTATACCATCAATTTTTTCAAAGTGATCATATTTAGTAGGTCTCAAATAAATGTTCAGCCCCGTGACATGGTCCTCAGCATCTCTGTTATCTCTGTTAAAGAACTGGATTCTACCTTGAATATAGATTTCAGGAGTAGGCATGTACTTTGACTTTGAGGTAATATAAACAATATTATTAGTAAGGATAATTCCTTCTGTGCTTGCCAAAACTGAGTTCTTCTGTCTATGAAATCCCATTTTCCACCAAGCATCTGGCTTGAACACCAGTTCATCCCTTTTCAGCACTAAGGGATCCACCTTATCACGGGAGAAATGACGGTACTGATCCAATAACAATTGAAAACGATCATGATTTAAATCAAAGTAAACTCCATGAGGTGGAATGCGATAGGCCACATACATTATATCCTCATTGACTACCAAGTCTTTCTCTTCATGCCAGATCATAAGACTGGAGTGTTTGACATTGTCAGAAAGCCATTTTAACTGAGGAACTGAATTGCGTATCAAGGATAGCCTGGCCTGAGGAAAAAAAACACTTTATTTTAACCACTTCAAGTATTCTATGTAGAAAAGTAGATTAAATGTCTCTTTCCGCTCTTTAAACAGCTGATGATAAAGTAAGATGATTTCTCTTTGTAGCATCACGCTTTTCAACATCATGGAGATTAAAGTTTTAAAATACATTTTTTTTAAAGCAAATTTAAATTTCTAATTTTATGATTTACCTGAAATACAAAAGACTGCTCCTTAAATTCAAATTCCTGTATTAAATTTAGCATATCCCAAACAGACTCCCAAGTGTATGCACTCTGTGTCAAGTCAGTATGCGTACCTGTTGTCCATCCAAGAGAAATGGTGCACCTTGCAAACACAATTTTCAAAAAATTAAAGTAGAACAAAAAAAAGAAGTAAATTAATATTTAATAAACTATTAAAACTTAAACATAAGTTAGCTAATTTTACCTGACTTACATATAAATGAATTTACTCCTTTCAAAAACATTCATTAATTTTTTTACCACCTTTCATAAACAAAAGAAAGTCAGAAAGAGCTTAGAAAAAAAAGTGAGTAAATTAAAACATTTTTCAAAAAAAAAAATACTTTGGAAACATTTTTTGTTGTGTTCTAATAAAACGGTGGTAATCTATAACAGGTTCTTCTCCATGAGGTCCTTGCAGTACATTCGCATGAATCCACACTGGAAATTTAATTGGGTTCTGGGAGAAAAATATGCAATAAGACTGTTATTTACTTTTTCACAATGATATGATACAGTACTAACAAGATTATGAGTGATATATATAGTAATAACAATTTCAAAAGAATTATTTTTAAAATAATAAATGTAGATAACCAACCTTATTTATCAAATGATATTTGCAATAGAAATGTTACAGAGTGATAAGTTTCTTACCAGTTTATCAAAATCATTTAAAATTTGGAATGTGATGTCCACAGCCTCCACAGAATGTATGTGGAGTCTGATGCCTTTACTTCCATATTTTACTTCTTGCAACCAATCTTTCAAGGTAATATCACTATCCAAAGCTGAAGGTTTAGCCATTATTGGAATCAACTTTTGAGATTTCGTTCCTTGCCCTTTCAAAATCACATCGCCAGATATCATATGGACCTTGTCATCTGCATTTTGATTAAATGAGTTCAAATATGTTTTTAATAACATCCAATGCTGATTTGATGAGAAAGAAATATTTAAGCTTAAAATTTATAAAATAAATCAAATTCAAATTTAAAAGATAGCTTTATAATATAAGCTACATGATGACCTTGCCTTTTGAGTGGTTGCTCCAAGGGAACAGTTACCACTTTTCAATGATTACTTAGGTTTATATTTCATGTCATAATATATTACCAGTCTTTAAAAAGTTTGAAGGATTGCCCAGCACTTCAGGTCTTAGGCCTTTATTAATTAACTACCAAAATATCCAAATTACATAAACACCATTTAGGATAGAGGAAAACCTAAAAATGTCTACTGGATCCAGAAGATGATGATGAATTAGTTTGAAAAATCAAAAAATTATAATTGAATAAATGTGAAAGACACAGTCCAGGGCATATGTTTTGCACCATAATTGAGATATATCTAATAATTAGGTTCGACATTTATTCAATGGCTACTTTGATTAAAACCAAATGTTTAAAATCAAAATCTTCAAAATATAAATTACTTTTCATAGCATCTTGAACTGCTTTTCTACTGTTTGCTTCTCTCTCCCATCGAATTTTGCTTGCATCATTGTTTACATCAAAGAAAATTAAAGCTCCAACATCTGGCCCAACACGAAAGTATGGAAGCCTAGGAAGTAAAAACCTTGGAATAATACCTGTAAATAAAAAGAGCATTAAAACAGTAAATGTCAATGATAAATGAAACTTACAGACCTGGTTACCCCAGAACTGGCAAAATAGTACAATATTGTTTCATTATAGTACTTTACCATCTTAAAATTGTACAGTAACATATCGTTAATGTAAATAAACATACAGTATAATGTATTAAATAACTTTATGCATCGCATGTCTAAAAAAAGGTCACTCCCGAAGTAGATGACTGACCTTTATATATTTAAATACAGTGCTTTATTGCAAATACAAATATGCCCATCATTGCCATTTTGATAGACGAATATGGGGTGGAGGAGCAGACATTAGGGACACCCGCCTAAGTCACCAGAGCAAAAGTGGGATTTGGGGAGGGGGGGCCCAGAAAACTTTTAAAAATTTTAAATTTCAGGGTTGCACTTTAGCATGTACCTGAAAATAATGTTGCATTTTTTTACACTTAATCAAATGCTTGTTGAAAAGTGTAAAATTAGTCTCCCTTTCCCAAGCTGTGTTTATTTAAATCCTTTAATTTTAGTAGTTATTAAACAGTGAAACTGATTGATAATTTATATTTAAGATTAATTATTTCACAAACAAGTGGTGGATATATTTTTCATATTTGCGTTTGTGCCAAGAATGAAAATAATCGCTAATTGAATGAAGAAATTAGTTGATTTGTAATATATCAGGTGGGGCATGATGTGGCGGACATTGGGTTGGTCACCCTTATATTAATTCTAGGAGCCTCATTTTATTTTTATTAACATATATTCTAAAAACCACCGCAAGCTGTAATGGAAGAAATGAAGAGGAGGAGTGCTGGAACAAAACTGGGGTAAGAAAATTGTAAAGCTGCTTAGTGTACACAGGATGTAGAAAGGAAGCCATTTAATTTAATCTAACCTACTTAAGAAAAGCAGCGGGCCCCCTAGCCTGGGCTCATTATGCTCTCCCCATTGTACCTCCACCCAACCCAAATATTGGCCCACAAAATTGCACGTCTGGAACACTATGCCGCTGAGACAGCCCGTGTCAGCAGTCCACTCGATTGACTACCATGCAGGGGCAATTGAACTTCCTATTACTGGGATGATTATATAAGCATACAAAAATCCACCCCTTCCCATCCCAGAGTGGCATCAGATGCCCTTTAATAGAGTTTATGCAATGATTTCTACTTCGTGAATAGTTCACAAGGTAGCTGGGACAAAACAGTTGCCCAGAAAGAGTCCCCTAGCAGGCTGCATATTAGAACAATTGGCATGAGTTGCCACTACCCACCCATGCCTCATAGACATTGAGGGCAACTGGTAATCATGATCCCAACCTTGATATGTCATTAATTCCAGCTGTAATTGGGTAGGTACTATACAGCTGTGCTCTTTCTGATGCACATACTATGCAAGACCCTTGTCTCCACACACAGGTCCTCTTCATCAGGCCCGCACAACTCAAATGTAAGGCGGGTCGTAATGTTTATGAAAAACTTGTGCAGGCCAAAAGAAAATAGGACAGGGGGAAAAGCTATTAAGAAAATAATAAAAATAAAGAATATTTCGCTACTTCCCGGGCCGCAGAGTGGGTGCTGGCGGGCCGTATGTTGTGCAGGCCTGCCCTATGTGGTGGTGTGGGCCCCCAGATAATGCCAAGTGGTTGGTGGCAGAATCTCTTAATCAGCATGCCCCTACAGATCATGTGGACTAGAGCCCTGGGGGAAGGGTGGTAAGGAACTAAAACTAACAACCAACAAACTACCAGAACATATTTTTCAACCCATTTCTGAGAGTATAATCGTAAAAAAACATCTCAATATGTATGCTAAAATCAAAACAGTAACCAGATCTGAACTTACTGTTCCTGAAATAAGAATTAAGGTAAATCTGATCAGCCCAGCTACTATTCAGTGGAACCTACATAATATTTCCTGAGAATAAATTATATATATTTTTTTTCTTTTTCCTCTATTTATTGATCCTTCAGGCTCCTGGTTTGAATTTAGAGTTTGCCTAAAGATGTTTTTGTTTGTTTTGGCTTTGGTGGGGATTGAACACCAGACCACCAGCTTTTTGAATTGAGTCTGTTTAGACCTTTCTGCCACCAGCATCCTCATCTTATTGCTTTTTTGGCTTATTTACATTACATACAGTAACATGATTAGTAAAATAGTCTGTTTTGATCTAAAAATAGCAATTTGGGTAGAAGTAAGATAGGCATCACTGACAGGCACAAACTATGCTATAAACTATTGTGGGAATCACAAGTAAACAGAATTAGAACCGTTTTCTTGTAAATCAAAACAAGAAAAGTAATGCCTGCCAGTATTCTTTATTACATTTTAAAAATATAGCATTTTTGTTATAATTTGCATTTAGGCCAGTTACATCATTAGATCATTAGAAACCCATTTCAATAACACAGGGGTCACCAAATTATGGCCCGCAGGATCCGGCCGACGAGGCCATTTCATCTGGCCTGCCGAGGTTAGTTGAACTTGCTTGATAAAACGTATGGAACACAAGACATTGTGATACAATTTAAATTTCAATATTATGTTTAAAATACTAGGAGATCTTCACACGTGCGGAGACCTCCTGGCTGCTATGCGCCTTAATTTACCTGTTTCAATTTTAAATTATTGTTTCTGGATTCTCTTGTTTATTACAGACTTATTTACCCTCGTACTCCTAAAATTGTACAATATCGTCTCAAAATCGTACAATACGGTATCTTAATAGTAAGTAAACAAACATACAGTATATAAAATGAATACAATAACTACTTATATCGCATGGCCTAGTGGGATCGAGTTAAGCTGGTGTCAGAAAAGTTAACTACTAAAAGTAGATGACCAACGTTTATATTGCATTCTGCAGTCACTTTGTTTTGCAGACATGTATTTGCTATTGATTTTAATTTATATTGAGTGGACCTACAGATCACATTATCAGAGTCTATCACTGGTAAAAATAAAGTTTGTGGTGAAATTTAATGTGGTTCAAACGTGGTTCATTAAACAAGATGTATTTAAATAAGAATTAATTAACAAATGATGACATCATTTAAAAACATAACAAATAACTCGATGTTGATGTATTTAAATAAGAATTAATTAACAAATGATGACATCATTTAAAAAACATAACAAATAACTCGATGTTGTTGTTTTTAGGAAAAGCTGGGTAAATTCAGATAAAGCCGCCCGAGTCTATTTCCAACGCACATATAGCCACAAAATGAATAAATCTCCACACCCCACAGGCACCCCAAAGATATCAAAGATGGTGCAACCAAATAAAAATGATAATGAGCCAACCAATCAAAATTTAAAATTATAATTAATCAACCAATAAATCTGAAATAGCCAAAGCTGGTTTTAAAAAAATCATAAAATAAAAATAAATTTCCATGAAGCCTATGCCTGCTAAATTATAATAGTCTGATAACTACCACAAACTGTAAATGGGTGAAAGAAAAATGAGTGTTGGAAATATACGGTGACATTAAAAATCTTAGTTGCCGCAGTTGGAACCTACAGCCCTTCTGCAAGTTCAGTGAGGAAGCTAAGAACTTGCAGTTGGTTGTCTTTGCTTTTTTGCATTGCACGCCACTCACCCATGATTAACATGGAATACTAACTAAACTCAGTTTCGCAGAGCTTTCGTTCTGGCATGCAAGTATTGTACAGAATGATTATCCGGCCCGCGCTTGTCATTTTTTTCCATTATTCGGCCTGCCGTGAAAAAAGTTTGGTGACCCCTGAAATAACAAAACCTGCATTTGAACTTCTTTCGTTTAAAGGAACTGAGCGAAATAACGAAGTGGTTATGCGCAGCCGACTGCGTATAACCCTGAGAGTTATTCGCAGTCGGCAAGTCGCATGAGGTCTATATTCTTCCTGTGTTACATTATCCATCGATAAAGATGCTTCTTTATCAGGGTGGCTGTGTGGTTGAATGGTATAAACTGAGCGAACGTCATGTTGGGGGTCAGGAGTTCAATTACAGCAAAGGCCAGTCGTGAATGTGTTATTAAGTTAGTCAGTTAAGTTTGTTCTCGAGAATGAAGCTAGGCATTTTGTTTAACTTTTGTTGTGGCTTTAAAAAATGTTAAAACATGATAAGAATTATTAACTTGACTAATGTAATATTAATAATGTTATTCTTATGATTATCATAATATATGTTTGTGTTGTTAACATATTTTTTTGTGTTGTTTACTAATGTTGTGGCAGATAAAATCATGTTTCTCTGGTACAGTAATATAATCAGGAGTGGTCAGTAGAAAGTAGCAGAAACAAATAGCTGTAGGGGCAGGGGGTTCTGTAGAGGGGGCACTTTAATTAATACTTTCACACAGTTATAGTTTTGCATGGAAGCTGAAAACTGTTACATTTAGGTTACCAAAAATAATTAAAAAAATAAATAAATAGAATGCATTTCCTGAATTAGTCAGTAAAACCAACCACATGACATGGTCATAGCAAAATATAAAAACCTAATCAATCAGAATACAGAACTAGACTTAGACCATGGAAATGGCTTTTAAAAAATCATCTTCTTAGGCTTAGACTCTTAAGTCTAAGAAATGTAGACTTTAACTTAGACTTATAATTATAACATATAAGATACAAGCAATAATACTAATAATAGCACTAATACTAATACTATTACTCTCATTCAACATTAATTAAAATTAATTCAATTAAAATTTTACGTTAAACACATTAAAAGTTATAGTTCAAAACAATCCATAATGCAGCTATATATGCATAATATTTTTTTAAAAATTGCCAAACTAGCGATAATAAACCTTATTTGGCTAATTCCCAGCCGACTGCATATAACCCTAAGAGTTATACGCAGTCGGCTGGGAATAACTCTCAGGGTTATGCGCAGCCGACTGCGTATAACGCTTCCCGCGAAATAAAGTATGGGAAAACCTGAAAAAGGGGAAGCAACAAAACAGCATTAATTTAGATTATTCCATTTACATTGTGCAGCTGTAAAGCAGCTGAGCTGGAAAACTCTATTGCTTTAGAGCAGCGGTACTCAACCTATGGGTCGCGACCCCTTAGGGGGTCGCGGGACCCTTTTCCAGGGGTCGCCTAAGACCATCTGAAAACACATCCTTACAACAGTAACAGCTATGAAGTAGCAACGAAAATATTTGTGTGGCTGGAGGTCGCCACGTCACGAGAAACTGTATTAAAGGGTCGCGGCATTAGAAAGGTTGAGAACCACTGCTATAGAGTATATTATAAGTCATAATAAGTAATAAATAGGACATCTAAATAATTCTAAATATCATCTATGAAATCTATGATCTTTTGCCTTTGCTTACCTCCATTTAATGTATAATAAATGTATAGAACGAGAAATCCTCCAACAATTTGAGCTATCAAGCACTTTTTAAAATGTCTTGGCATTGGTGGAAAAATAACCGATGATGGTTCTTTGGGGCCACGCATTTTATCGCTTGAATCTGTGCCGGTTGTCAAATCCAGGAAATCACTGTTATTAGATTTCAGCAGGGGGCTGCCATCTTTATCCATAAGAATCAACTATCGTCAGTTTTCTCGTCTGGACGATACCCATTTCCCAATTAAATTTTTTTTCGAAATAATATATTTTTCATCAGTAATCTTAATTATGCAATTATAATCAATATTTTATGGCCATGGATGTAATAAAAAATAGTATAGTGGGATAATAAATAGATTCTACACTAAAACCTCTTATAGTCTATATATTTATTTTTTTTTGCTTTTTGTGCGTCCCGTTTACTCTTCATCCCCCCCCCCCTTTTCCAACTCCTCAGTGTTTTATTTTATATTATTAATAGTAGGCCTACTAGTACTTAGTGAAAATAAAGGCTGTCACGCAACGAGCTTCATGCGTGATGCCTGAACTCCAGTAATTAAGTTGATTTTTTTTTTCTTTAGGGGGAAGTGACTATTTCAAATATTATAACAGGGAAAAAATCAGTTACAATTAGCGCCTCATAAAGACTGACCCAAGGGAAATGATCTCACACGATACCCACAGTCCGTGCAACAACTAGGCAACTAGGAAAACAATTTTTTTTAATAAATATATTTTTATATTTTTTGCGCGGGGGTGCGCAATAAAATGTTTTCAGAATCCAGTTTTAAATCGGTTAATTATTATTAATATTTATTCCAACCTGTTCAGCACAGCATGGTCAGGGTGCCATTATAGGTGAATCAGGTGATTATTTTGAAAGCTTCTCTAGAATGTTTTGATATTAACTGGCAGTTGAAAGAGTTTCAGTTTGTAGAGCTGACAAAGCAGCTGTTATATTCGTATACCACAGTTTAGTAATAGAGATCGGCGAACAGGGGTAAATTACCCCAAAATGGGGTACAAATAAAAATCAATATGGCTAATGAGCGCTCAGCAGATATATATAAGACAGCCTCATCCATAGGGTTGCTTAACAATGCGGGGTTAAACTCTTAGTATGTTATTGTTATAATACTGTGAGTGTTAGCTGCCAACCCCATTAAAAATGGCACCATTTTCACGCCTCTCCATCAATTTGGACAAGTTCATATAGAGCATGAAGGTATGGGGGTGTTATTGTACTTATGAAAAATGAAGACCAACCATAGAGAATATCTCTTGGGGCCAAGATGATGGATAAGAGTTGCATACTGGAATGTTAGCACACTGTATCAAACTGGACGTTTGGCGAAAGCTAAGCTGTAATTCCGCAACAACCTGAACCTCATTGGATTAAATGAAGAAAGGTGAATATGAAGTGGAAAAAGCACACACAAAAACAACCCCCTCTCCCCGAAAAAAAACACACAAAACTCTTCTCCCCCACCTCAAAAAAACAAAAACAGAAACAAAAAAAAACACACACACACAAAAAACACCTGAAGTCACTGGAAGTCAATGGTCATCGTCTGGTCAGAAATATAAGACAACTTCCAAGAATAAGTCGATCTCGTTATCAAAATATAGTGAACACGCCCCTTAAATAAAAAACAAAATGCGAGCTATTTCTCCATACTAAGATGCCTCCTAATTCTCAAATGATACGTTGTTGTTGGATATGCACTACTGACGATGCACTCCTGGAAGACACGTTCTGCTTACAACTTACGAGCCTCGATCAAAGACATCCCAAAGAATGATGTTATTCTGATAAGACCAAGTTGAAAGCAAGAAGGAGAATCGAGAAAGAACGAACGGAGAGCATGGATTAGGAGTTGTAGTTGCGGCCAACATTGATGATCACTGATCAGCCTCTGTTAGAAGAGAGCATTGTCATCGAATGTAACTTCTTGGCCCACAAGGACACCAACACACTCATCTGGACAGAGCTAATTTAACATAATCAATATCATTGTTAAATGTAGGCGCTCCCAGCAAAATGTGAGGTATGTGCCACGCTGATATATGTGACTATATCCTTTTAGTGACTAAGTTCCATATTAAAATCAGAGAGGAAAAAACTCAAAAAAAAGACATAACGAATAAAAAATAAAGATATTTCCTTGTGAAGCAAAAGAACCAAAAGGAAATGAAATATTTTACCACTGCCTTCAAAAAAAAAAAAAAAAAATCTAAAAACAACAACAAATTTAGCATTCACGATAATGAATCACAAATAAAAATTAAAAATAAGAGAGGAAAAAACTCAAAAAAAAGACATAACGAAAAAAAAATAAAGATATTTCCTTGTGAAGCAAAAGAACCAAAAGGAAATGAAATATTTTACCACTGCCTTCAAAAAAAAAAAAAAAAAATCTAACAACAACAACAAATTTAGCATTCACGATAATGAATCACCAATAAAAATTGAGATTTTCAACGAAGCCCCGGTTGAAGCAGGGGAAGAAATCCTGGATATAAGAATTCAACAAATATTTTTCTGAAAAACGACATTATGTAGAGGCTGTGGGCATCACATTCCATTATTTTAAATGATTTTGATTAACTGACAAGAAAAAATATTTCTTATAAGGTAACTTTCCTATTAAAAATTACTTAAAGGCTCCACGCTACTCGAGTGAGACAGAGCGAAAGAGGTCACCAAGAAGATACCAAACCATCATCACGTGTTGAGATGCCAGCTCATACCTTGATACTTGAGATGCCACACCCTTCCCTTGCTCATTGAGATCCTGCGCCCTGCACTTGCTCAGTCAGATGCCCCCACCTGTCCTTTGCTTCATGAGATGTCTCACCCATCCCTTGATGCGTGAGATGCCCCAACACCCTTTACTCATTAAGATGCCTCTATCATACATTATGGACACTTGAGATGCCCCGCTCATCCCTTGATACTTGAGATACTCCACCACCCATTACCCATTAAAATGCCTCTCTCAAAATTTGGTCCTTGAGATGCCCCTCCCATCCCTTCATCATGCGATAGAAATTTCCGTTCAAGCATTAGCATATCAGCCCACTCACAGAAAGTTCCATGTTCAGCAACAGTGGGGCGCAGACTCACGGGGGCACCAAAATGGTCTTTGGTGGTATTAAGTGGTTGAAAATAATTATTTTCAGAGCTGAGGAGGGGATGTAAAAATGAATCATGCCCCCTGACGCCACACGCTCTAATTATGCCCCTGCCAGTGGCGTATAAAGGGGAGGATGAGGGTCTTCACCCAGGTGTCACTTTTTATTTATATGGATGTGGGGCATTTTCGGACAAATGCAGAGTTTATATCGTGAAAGGAAGAGCGGCAAAAATATTTGGACACCCATGGTGGTACTGATACTAGCTATGCCACTATCTATCGTCACCAAGCCATCCTTCTCATCTGGATGTGGTGTAGAAATCGAGGGCGCAGATGAATCTAGCTTTTATTTTTATGTAAATATAAGCAATACAAAGATCATGCAGATAAACTCAAACAACCAAGAGCATATCTCTTTGGCAGGAAATGCACTAGAAGAAAAGGAGGCCTTCACATATTTAGGCACCATCATTAACATATATGGTGGATTCGAAGCGGATGTCAGGGCTATAATTAGAAAGGCTGTGTCAGAATGTGTGCTATTAAAGAAAATATGAGTGTCAAGGGAGCTGACACTTCAAACCAAAGTCAGAATTTTCAACACAAATGTCAAAACAGTCCTACTCTATGGACCCGCAACTTTGAGAATAACAGCGAGCAATACGCAGAGAATACAGACCTTCATTAATACTTGCCTTAGAAAGATCCTGAACATCAAATGTCCAAACACCATCACCAACAAAGACTTTCCAGATAGGACATACCAGGAGCCTATTGGTTAAGACATCATAAGGAAAAGATGGATGTGGATAGGGCACACTCCCCGCAAACCCCCATATAGCGTCACCAGACAATCCCTAACATAAAATCCACCGGGAAAAAGACAAGAGATCCTAAAAATACATATTCCCCAACATTCAGTTGATTCAAATTTTTATTTAGAATTTCAAACTATTATAGCTTTTTTCCAGATAAATTACAAATTTCCTCTTAGATATAATTTAAAACACTTTAAAGAAAAAATCCACAGAATGTATTTTAAATTGAACAAATTAGGAATAATAATTTATTTCTAAAACTGGTACCAACACTTTTTTTGTATATAGAATTGGGATGATAATCGAAATGCTACTTTACAAAAATCGTTTTTTGTTTTTTTTTTTCTTTTAAACACAAATTTCTGATAGATTCTCATCTAGACAAATTGTAATAGAAAAATCCGTGCACGGTGGGACAGAGGCATAGTAAATATTTAAGTACTTTTTTAAACCTCTGTTATTCACTTGTGGACGTTCAACAACAAACATGGAGGGTGTGGTATGGAAGTGGACGAACTACCTATCAGGTAATCCCACACAGACGCATTTATGATAAATGCATTGCTTGTATGGGAATATTTCTCTTTAATATTTAACCTAAGTTCAGTGCAGATGGAAAGTGGTGGTATAAATTGCAGAGATTCGTGACGTTATATTTGAGGGGGGTCTAAATTTTTTTGACGATTGGGGAGGGAGGGGTAAAAATCCTCAAAATTTGCGTGACGTCATTTGGGGGGATGGCCCCTATGCTATACAGCCTATATAAGACAACCATCCCCTTATTACTAAAATACTGTTTGGGGACTACTTATTTTGAACTTTAAACTTTGGCACATGACTAATTAATTAAAGCTTCCCCTGACCAATGGTTTAATAGTTTTTGCACACTGCAAACTTATGAATAAAACTCTGAGATAGTAGTTACATTATAGTTCTGGAACCAGCTCCCCTTCCATATCCGTCATTGTCCACTTTTAAAAAGTCCCTTAAAACCCATCTGTTTAGGTCCGCCTATGACCTGTGATGCACCCTCCTCGCCCTGCCTCATTTTCTGTTCCTGTATAGGCCAAAACGTGCCAAAGTTTCCTCGTTTTATAGCCATTTTAATTGTTTCAATAGTATAGTAGTTACTATCCTAGTGTCTCATTTTTATTTTACTTAGTTTACATGTTTTTAATAATTGTAAAGCGCTTAGAGCTTTAAGGTAAGCGCTATATAAAAAATGCCTAAATAAATAAATAAA